CTATATCTTGAACTATCAAAGTGGAGTATGACAGGTACTCTTAATAGGAAATCACCTATATAAGTGTGAAGTGAGGCCACTTCCATGAGAATGTTTCAAGGGCTTGAATTCTCTAAAACACTTATGAAATCCAAAAGTTGTTCAGGGTCAAAATGAACATGACAGTGAGAACTTGAAAATATTAGGAAGGTTATTGTGTTGATGCTATTGTCTTGATTTACAATAACGGCTGACAGCTCAAGACATCACGTTCACTGATTAGCCAAGTAAATCCGATAGTATACTACTATGCAAGGTTCAAACCCATAAGGTACCTATTTAGATGCAATAACTTTCCGCCTGATCTCTCGTTAGGATCTGTATCATTTATTGCATTAATTTCCATTTATGTGGGGGATTGTTGGAAATTTGGAATAATTAGTTGGTTTGACCAACTTTTGACCAATTATTTAAGTGGGTCCCATTAGTTGGATAAATGATTTATGCCAAGTGCATTCTACTCCATGAGTAGAATTGATAAATGTATTTATTTTTCAAAACTAATTAAAGATGAATGAGAAATTATAGTAAAAAGATGACCACTTGAAGTTGAAATAAATTGGGAATAAATTGATGGGAAATTGGAAAGTGCCAATCCCACATAGAAAAATTAGAAGAATAGAAACCACTTTATATAACTAAAGTTAAAAACTTGGGTTTCGATTCCAAGGAGTACCACTAATCTTTAGAGGGGAGAGGACCTACATGCTAGTGGGTTCAGCAAAAGCCCACATGCGTGTGCTGTTGCGGCAGGCTCAGCTCGGCACGGCACGATCACTTGCACGGGCCTGGGTCATGGGCTTGACCCAGTTGGTATATATATTTTTTGGTAAAATAATATTTTAAATTATATTATTTTATTAATTAAATAATATATTTATATTATATTATTTATTTATTTTTTCCCAAATTTTCTGTGAAAGACATGTGGATTTTTCTAGAAACTGACGGTCGGTGATAGTTTTAACTGTCTGTCCAAATAGGTTATGTCTGTTCCAAGATACAACATTTCGGCTGTTGTGTCTTTTGGGGACAACCTTTCAACTTCTATAAATAGACCTCAGATCCTTGATTTTTGTTCACTCCAAAAATTTATTTTACTTCTCTTCTCCTGCAATATTGTCTTTCTGTCCTGTAGCTTTCATATATTTGCATTTCAGTCCCAAATATTATTTTCGTGCATTTTAGTCCTCCGATTCTTGAGAGATCAAATATTAGTAGGTTCGTCGGGTCTTGTAATTTGGAGTGCTACTATTACAAGTTGAAGTCGTTGTATCTTGAGAGACGAGTGTCAGGAGACCGTCAGCACTAGTGTGGGGCATTTTCGACTTAATGAGAAAAAGTCGAACTCTTGCCTCGACTATTATTTATTCTGATTTATTACACTAATTTTGTAAGTCGAAATTCTGCTCGAATATTTATTCGCTATTTATTTTTGTAAATTATCGCATGACATACTCGAAGATTTTCTACACAACTATCTCAAGAAAAAAAATGTTGAACGTTTTGACACAATGGTAGATAAATTTCACACATTCAACTTCTGAAATGAATTATCCGTTGACTACAAAGGTCGTGTGCATGTATGTTGGAGGGGAAAAACAAAGGCTTTACTGGCAGCAATACATTCAAGGTTAGAATTACAGCACCAATTACAAGCAGTGAAAATGCAACTGCGAAAAACTTCATACTGGAAGACTAAACAAAATAAGAAAACGGATTAGCTACACCAAACTTTACAAGTTTCATATGAAATAGTATATAAAATGAGAGCAACACCAGCCATATATATAATTTTGCCAATTTGATTGCACTGTTAACATTTTGATGATTTATTGAAACATAAATTTCCATACCAGCTAGTGCAGGGCAGGACACAGAGAACCAAAATGAAAAAGAAGCTAAAGTTTCAGTATGGATTGACTTTTGCTAGATCATACTGTAACCTCAACATAGCGGTTGCTAAATGTGATGCACAGAGGGTAAAGAGTAGTGAAGATGAATTATTTGCTTCTTTAAACCCCTATTTTTTCTGAGGTTTTTGAAAGTGTGAAAAAATATTTTTGTATGATCAGTTACCTTCAAGGAAAAATGTGGGGAAAACTGTGGAATAATTGGGCAAAACTGTAGAATAATTGTGGTCCACTTAGCTTCTCTACAAAGTCCACAGTAACTTAGCTTTCTTCCCTGCAAAACGCATGCCAAGTCAGACTTTTCAAACCCCTGTTTTTACCTTGGATTTCAGTCGGTCGAAGCAGCTTTATTCTTTGGGAATATGATGATCCTTTTCCAAATTCTTCTTCTTTTTTTTCTTTTTGATTTTGTTTAATTACTTAATATGAAATAATGTGAAATTATTATTTTACCATTTTAAATTAGTCAAAATTTGATTAGACTGTTGACTTTTGGTCAATTAACTGTGTAATCAAAGGTTTTTGTAGTTTGTTCTTTATAAATTTTTGAAAGGTTTGGAACTGTGGATGACACAAAGTGAAAGTTTAGATAAAATTAGCGAAAAAATAGAAAGGTTTGGGACCACTGATGCGGTTATCCCGAAATTTAATCAATGCTCATCCAACTTTAAATGCATTACTACTTGTTTAAAATGCTTCTTATGCTAGTTTTTGTGCAGAAGAGGAGGTGTGTATCCTTTTTGATATATTTAGCCTTCAAAAGCAACCTTCAGAAATGTTTGGTGTGCTGAAGAGGAGGTGGATACCCTTGCTTTCATAACCTCAAGTTTCCATTACAATTTCCAAAGACCACTCATAATATTTCTTTATGTACATATCAAATTAAATCATAGGCTCTGTTTGAGCCACATTCTTTGAAAAAAATACGTTCTTAAATAGTGATTTGATATTTTTCAATCACACGTTTTTCAATAAAATAATATTACACGTAAATATAAATTTTTTTTTATATTTTAATCACACATTTTTCATCAATACACTATTAAAAAATACATTTTTATTAAAATAATATGGCTCAAACAAGGACATAATCCATATTAAAATTTGATGGTGGCAATCGACAATTGAGTGGGAGTGGTTTTGGGATGATGGGGTTGGGGAAGAAAGGAGTGAGTGGGGGCTATGGCTTTATTTTTTATTTTTGATTTAATATGAGAAATGTATTTGGACCAATAGTGAAACAGATGGAAATTCTTATTTTGGATTGGACCAGCAAATTTTTTAAATATTTGGTACCCACGATGACACAAATAAAAAGTTTGGACAAAATCTACTACTAAATAAAATGTTTGATATCATGGCAATAATTCTCCCAAGAAATTAACACTGCAACAAATTAATAAACATTGAAAATTTGGCAGAGATTTTTTGAGAATAAGATTTTGTGATTTATTTTTATTTAATTTTTTATTTTTTGAGAATATATGGTTTAAAAGTATGAAAAATGTGGAGAAATTATCTTAAAACTCCTCCATTGGTATTATGGAATTCAAAAACTCGCTGGTAAATAGTAGCGTCAATATAGAGTTCATATTCACATGGTTAAAAAAGCTAATGATTAATTCCCTATTTAACGTTGTTGAAAAGGTTTAGTAGGGATGGCAATCGGGCTCGCCGGCTCGAGCCGCCTGTGACTCGGCTCGGGAAAAGCCTGAGTCGGCTCAGCTCGAGGCTTGGTAGACCCAAGCCTAGGCTTGAGCCGAGCCCCATTTTGGGGACACGGGTTTTGCCAGAGCCAGCCCGTGAGCTTGCGAGTTTTTTGAAATTTTTTTTTTTAATTTGAGGCTTAAAAGGCAACAGTTCACTGCCTAAGGCAGTAAGCTGCTGCCTTTAAAAGGCAGTAATTCACTGCCTTCAAGGCAGCCAAGCTACTGCCTTTTAAGGCAGTAGTTTAGGAGGAGGAAGAAGAAAAAAAAAGGGGAGAAAACGAGCCTGTCCGTAAAAAGCTCGAGCAAAAGCTCAGGCCGGCTCGAGCCAACAAAAAAACTCAGTCATTTTAATCGGGCCGAGCCCGGGTCGAAACTTGAGGCTCGCAAGCCGGCTCGACCCGGCTCGTTTACATTCCTAAGGTTTGGCGATGGTGTTGTCAGTTTGGCTATGATGGTTACTAGGCGTTGGGGTGGTGGTAGTCTAGTGGTGGCTATGTTAGTTGGGATAGGAGGGATCTAGTTTCACTTTTTGAATGATTTGGGACTCTCGTTGCAATTTGCTTTTAATATCATTCCTTTTGTTTCTTTTTCGTTTAATTATGATACTATCTTTTTGCATCTGACTAACATAATTTTTGGATGAAAACAAATAGTAAGGACGGATTGCATTTATTAAAGAAATAACAACGTTAAAAGTCTTAAATGATAAGGTTGTGATGCAAAAATGTAAAAATGACTAAAAAGTGGAAACGAAATGTATCTAAACCAACAAAAATTCCAATAATTAATACGTAGCTTAGGGGCCTCATTGCAAATTATCCTAATCAGGAGACACACAACATGGAACCCTTACAAGTAAATTGGGGAGACAATTGAGCGATATAAATTTGGAGTGGAGTGGGATCGAATACGGAAGGACAGGACATGACACGATAGTATAGGACATGAAGAGAATTAAAATATTCTTACTTACTTGTTTATTCTTTATTCACTTTTATTTTTTAACTACAATCTTACTTTAAATATATAAAAAATAAAAATCCGGATAAAGAGTTAAAGACCATGTTTGGTGGTCACCATCTCGATTAACTTAGCACAAGTTACTTCGACGTTTCAACTGTAATAACGTTGAGAAACGTCTGTACTGAGTCTGATGATCTGACCACTATCTTTCTCTTTGTCTTCTCGATTCTCTCAGTGACCGCAACGGTCACATTTCCTCCATATAAAATCGCATTAAAAAATGTAGTAAACTCAATGAAAAACCATTTTTTAATGGCTATCCCACTTTCTCCTCTATCTCTCTGTATGTCTATGGCTCCTGCAAGTGCAATCTTAATATGGGTTCTTTCTTTCTTTCTTTCTCTATGCCTTAGCGGTGGTTCACGGTCGCGGCGGAGGAGGAGGAGGAGCGGCGGTGGAACTGTGGTGTGTGGCAAAGAACAATGCCGCTGATAATGCACTACAGTCGTCCCTCGATTGGGCTTGTGGGCCTGGAGGAGCAAACTGCTGGCCCATCCAGAAAGGTGGGCCCTGCTATGACCCGTCGGACCTCCAGCGTACGGCGTCGTTCGCCTTCAATGATTACTTCCTCAAGCATGGCCTCACTGAGGAAAGCTGTAATTTTAGTAATACGGCTGCTCTCACTTCTCTCAATCCTAGTAAGCACACTGAATATTAGTTTTTTTTTTTTTTTTTTT